TTTTATTACTTTTGAAAATAATTGAATTTCTCCAATCATTTGTAACTTTTTCAAAATTCAATTTTTTTTTAGTATTTTAAACTAAAATTTTTCTGTAAATACATTATTTTTAATGATTAACTAAATATATATTGACAAATTTAACTTATTTTAGAAGATTTTGAATTATTAAAATTTTTCAAAAATCTAAGTTCATTAAAATTTCTAATTAAATTCATTCAACATTGAAATTTTATAAAATTTCAAAATGAAACCGCTTGAAGTTCATTTATTTATGAAAATTGTAAACGAAACTATTTTAAAATTAAAATAATTTTGAGATATTTAATTAAAATTATTCATTAAATAATTTATTTATTTTATGATAGTTGTTCAAGGTTTAAGCTATTGAAAAAGAAATTTTTGTCAGAAATTGGAAAAATTGAATGTTTTGTATTAGAATTCATGGTAATTTTATAGTTTTATTCATTCTCATTGATGTGAATTAGAATGAATGAATTAGAATGAATTTTTTAGGTTAAAATAAAATTTTTGAAAATTTATTAAGTGTAGCCTACGACAACATTGTAGTCCTACAATTTTAATACAAGGATTTACAATTTATATATATACATATATAAAACATAAACTATATATATATATATATATATATATTTGCATCATCTGGAACGTGAGAAGTGGAGGCTATAGTTTAATGAAAAGCGCCTCCCTCTAATATATAGTGTCTACTGTGATATAAATTATACAACTGCATATATATATATATTGACAACGTGGGCAACGTATACATATATATATTACACGTAAATATATGTATTCGTCGAAATACTGACGCGACATGGGAACCCTTGTGTAACGCTCTGATAATTTTAACCACATCCTCCTCCTATAATCTCGTGGGGTTGACTTATCTCTGATAATCAATCAATCGTGTAATATGTTTTGATTAATCAAGTGCAGAATTTGGAGGAAATGTTAAAAAAAAATTATTTTCGTTTTCTTATAAATACATGTGAATTAAAAAACAAATAAAAATGACCCTATTGATTTTATTAAAGAGCACACGTAATACTTTATTAATGACGTCATAGTTGTGACGTTACCAATAAATCGTGTATTTATATTCCACGGGAATTAAATTAGGGTAATGGAATCATCGGCTCGAAATTTCGTTGGGAGGGACGAAAATAAACGATAATAGAATAATGATGAAAACGTAAATTACATGCTGTAAGATTTTTTTTTTTAAGTTGCTAGGTATGATTTTTTGATTAGAATAAAAAATAAAATTTCTATAAAATTAAGAGTTTTATATTTCGACTTTAGATAGAAAATTCATCTTTTATTTTCAGAATTTTTCTTTTATTCAATTTTTGCATTCCAATTTTTCTTTTAGAAATAGAAACATGATTTATTTTGAATTATTCTCTACAATCGTATAACTATAGTGCAATTAAATTTATTTGATTGAAATAAACTATTGATTTAAACGACTTATTAAGTTTTTAAAAATCTTTTCTAAGTAGTATAAGTCAGTTTCAATCAGACAATTATTTCCAATTTTTAAATTTAATTGTAAGTAGTAAAAATTATTTTCAGTCAGACAGTTACTTTAATTTTTATGAAATAATTATTCTTAATAAAAATCATAAATTAAGTAGTAAAAGACAACGTCATGTCAGACAGAAACTTATTTAAATTTTTAAAATTTCTTTCAAGTACTACAAACCAGACATTTATTCAAACTTTCCTGAAATAATTATCGTTAATAAAAAAAGTGACAAATGCAAATGATTCTGAAAAATGTATTCTAAGTAGTATAAATTAGTGTCAGTCAGACATTTATTTTATATTTCCTAAATTAATTCTTGACTAATAAATAAAAAAATAATCGTTATAAAAGAAATAATAATAAATGCAGAAAATATTTTAAAAAATTTTCTAAGTAGTATAGGTCAGTTTCAGTCAGACATTTATTGAAACATTCATAAAACAATTATTGTTAATAAAAATAATAAAAAATTCTTCAATGTTCTTTTTAAGTAGTATAGGTCAGTTTTAATGAGACAATTATTTTAACTTTTATGAAATAATTATTCTTAATAAAAATCATAAATTAAGTAGTAAAAATCAACGTCATGTCAGACAGAAACTTATTTAATTTTTTTAAATTTCTTTCAAGTAGTACAAGTTAGTGCTAGTCAGACATTTATTTAAATTTTTGAAACATAATTTTTGTTGTGAATATTATGAGTAAAATTGATGAAAATAGTTTTAAAAAATTTCTCAGTAGTATAGAATAGTTTCAGTCAGACATTTATTCAAACACTTATAAAACAATTATTCTTGAATAAAAATAATAAAATACAGAGAAAATTCTTTAAAAAAAATGTAAGTAGTATAGGTCAACATCAGTCAGGCATTTATGTGAATATATTGAAAAAATAATTCTTAACAAAAATCACAAATAAAGTAGTAAAATACAACGTCATATTAGACAGAAACTCACTTAATTTTCCAAAAAAAAAATTTAATTAGTAAAAACCACTGTTAGTCAGACATTTATGTAAACTATCGTAAAATAATTATCGTTCTAATAATGAAGAAAATTGCAGAACATTTTGAAAATTTTATTCTAAGTAGTATAGGTCGGTTTCAGTCAGACATTTATTCGAACATTCATAAAACTGAACTTTTTATTACTGATAAAAATTTTTATAAATACAGGAAATTCTTAAAAGTCCCTTCTAAGTAGTATAAATCAACTTCAGTCAGGCATTTCTTTAAATATTTGTAAAATAATTATTTTTAATTAAAACCATAAATTAAGTAATTAAAGACAATGTCATGTTAAACTAATCCAGTTTTAAAAATTTTTTTAAAGTAGTACAAATCAGCATTACTCAAACATTTACTTGAACTTCTGTTAAATAATTATTATTATTATTAATAACAGTAATAAAAAAAAATTCAGAAAGTTACTGATTATCTTTGTAAATAGTAAAAATTATTTTCCGTCAAACATTTATTTAAACTTTTGAAAAATTATTATTTTTTATAAAAATCGTAAATTTTTAATAATTTCTTTTAAGCAGTATAAGTCAGTATTACTTTGACATTTATTTGAATAAATTCTTAAAAAATGGTTATAAGTAGTACAGATCATTTTTTGTCAGATATTTACATGAATTTTTTCAATAGTAAAAATTGTTTACCGTCATATATTTACTGAAACTTTTAAAAATTAATTATTATCAATAAAAATTATAAATTAAGTAGTAAAAGATTTCTTTTTGGGGAAAAACTTAGTAAATTACTAAATTTTTTAAAATTTCTTTTAAGTAATACAAGTCAGTGTTAGTCAGACATTCACTTAAACTTTCGTAAAATAATTATCGTTATAAAAATAAATAAAATTGCAAAAAATATATAAAAATTTCTGCTAAGTAGTATAGGTCAGTTTCAGTCAGACATTGAGTCAAACATTCATGAAAAAATTATTTTTGATAAAAATATTTAAAAATACGGAAAATTCTTAAAAGTTCCTTATAAGTAGTATAGGTCAGTATCAGTCAGACAATTATTTAAACTTTTATGAAATAATTATTCTTAATATATATCATAAAGTATAAGTGGTGAAATTTATCATCATGTCAGATAGAATCTTACTTATTTTTTTTAAATTTCTTTCAAGTAGTACAAGTCAGTATTACTGACATTTATTTAAACTTTCGTCAAATAATTATCGTTATAAAAATAAATAAAATTGCAGAAAATATTAAAAAATGTATTCTAAGTAGTATAGGTCAGTTTCAGTCGGACCATTATTCAAACATTCATAAAACAATTTTATTGTTTGATAAAAATTCCATAAAATTTATCAACAAATAAATTTCTATTTGTTTGTACATTTTACTATTTACCTATCAAAAAATAATATCATAATCTCAAAAAACAAAAAATAAATTGAAAAATCAAAGCTCAAATGTGTGACTTTCAGAAAAATGACCCACATATAATGTCAAAGCTGCGATTAGAATGAAATTGAAAATAAAATTTATATTCCTCAACGATAAAGCAAGTTATAAATGAAGAAACTCCATAATAGATGTTGGACAGATAATTTAGTTGTTTTCGAGTTTATCAAGAGTTGAGATGTTCCCTTATCTTTATTCAGACTTAACTTGCAATGTATATAAATACAAACTATGCAAGTTCATCAGAGGATGGAATTCAAAGTAACTAGTACACGTTCATACACAACTACATGAGTAGATTTATATACGTTATGTATACACATAAAATGTTCCCGTATATATATATATATTGTATATGTATATGCGAGTGAGTATGCTAAAATGCGCACCTGAAGGGTGGCAATGACGCTACACCCCCTTCCATTGATGTGAATCGCGTGTCTAAATTTAGATCAGCTCTGTGCGCGTCCGGACACATTGTACGAACGCAGAGGTGGTTTATTCAAATTATTCACTCTAACGATGAATTCTATTCGACAAAAAGGGGACATCCAAACTAAACCACTGTATATTGTTTCAAAAAGCGTTATACTAGTTTTCGGTTTCAGCTAATGCAAACACTGCACAAATTGTCTTTTTTTCTATCATGACTTTAAATCGTGGTTCAACTCAAAACAATGGCAACTGATTGAAATCGAGTATTGATTAGAAATTATATTATCATTATTAAATAATAAATTATTATTCAATTATTAAACACAGTCAGCTAACGGTAAATCTCAATTCTCAAGGGGCAAAAAATTTAATCATCGAGGTTTCTATTTATCGAATGTTTTGAGGATCGAAATTTTTTCTAGGAATACAAAAGCAACTTTAATTTATCGAGAGTTGACTGTATTGAAAAATAATATTTAATCTAACATTAAATTCTTTCGTTATCAAAAATTATTATCTCATCGGGTTATTTTTTCCTTCGTTTGCAATTTTAGGAAAAATTAAGAAAAAAGAAGAATAAAAACTCACCGTCGTCTTTTCTAAACAACGAAGAAGGTGATGATGCTGTAATTCGAAAATATCCTCCTCCTTGTAATGATCGTCGAGAGACAAGCCGCTTTCCTGTGCAGCCAATCGTGCCTCGGCTGCCTTCTTTTTACTGACGAATGCCGCACCACTCGACGCCTTTGCAATCCTAATTCTCGCAAGTCTGGCTTTCTGTAACAAAAAAAGCAGAATAAAAATTAGAAACATTTTATTATATAGGTACAAAATATTCGTTATTGTATTTCATATTTTCAGAAAATATTATTATTTCCTGATATTTTTCCCAAAAAAAAAAAAAAAAAAGAATTTTTATAGGAATATTATAGCAGGATTGACACAGGTCAGGGAAATCTGAGAATTTAGAAAAAAAATCAAAAAATTAGAAACATTTTATTATATAGGTACAAAATATTCGTTATTGTATTTCATATTTTCAGAAAATATTATTATTTCCTGATATTTTTCCAAAAAAAAAAAAAGAATTTCTATAGGAAGATTATAGCAGGATTGACACAGGTCAGGGAAATCTGAGAATTTAGAAAAAAAATCAGGGAAAGTATAATAAAGGAAAAGTCAGGGACTTTTATTAAAAGTGATGGAAAAAAATTGAATTTTTAGAATTCATAAAAAAAATCCAAAATTTGTGTTTCTTTTTCTGCCTCATAAACTATGAAATAACAAGGACTTTTAATATTTTTACTTAAATATTTCCCAATTAATTGAATTTTAAAAGAGTTGCGTTTACAATTTCAAAAATAAATGAACTTCAAAAAGTAATTTGAAATTATGGAAAATTTCAATTTTGAATTAAATTATTTAGAAATTTTAAAAGAACTTAGATTTTCGAAACATTTTAATAATTCAAATTTTTCTAAAATTAGTTAAATTTTTTAATGTATACATATTTAATTAATTATTAAAAAGAATAGATTTATAAAAGAATTATAGTAAAAAACTCTAAAAAAAAATTTTAATTTTGGACATGTTACAAATAATGACAATTTTCAGGTTAAATTGAATTTTGAAAAGGTTTCAAATTAAAATCTTTGGAAAATCCGAAATTTTCATAATTTTAATTAGTAATTCCGTAGAACTGATTTTTTATAAATTTTAATTCCAATTCTGTTGAAATTAGTTGAATCTTTTAATAAATATATTTAATATTATTTCAAAAATTTTAACGCAATTCTTCGAAATAATTAAATTATCATGTTAAATATCAAAGTTCTTCCCAGAAATTCAATTATTTAGGACGCTTAATAAAATTCATTGCAAAATTCAATTACTTTTATAAATAATAATATTCATCGCACAAGAATTCAATTATTTTTAAAAGAAATAAAATTCTTTGCATAAATTCAATTATTTTTTAAATTTAATAAATTTCTTGTCAAAATTTCAATTCTTTTTAGTACAATTTTAATCGAATTTCTCGAAAAATATAACTATTCTTCAAAATAGCAAAATTCTCCCCAGAAATTCAATTATTTTCAGAGATTTTAATTAATTTCTTTTGAAAATTCAATTATTTTTATAAATAACAATATTCAGTACAAAAATCAGATTATTTTCAAAAGTAATAAAATTTTTCGCAGAAATTCAATTATTTTTTAAATTTAATAAATTTCTTGTCAAAATTTCAATTATTTTTAGTACAATTTCAATCGAATTTCTCGAAAAATGTAATTATTCTTTAAAATAGCAAAATTCTTCCCAAAAATCCAATTATTTTCAGGAATTTTAATTAAATTCTTTTGCAAAATTCCATTATTTTTATAAATAACAATATTCACCACAAAAATTAAATTATTTTCAAAATTTTAATCAAATTTCTTGGCGAAATTTCAATTATTTTTAATACAATTTTAATTGAATTCCTCGAAAAATGTTATTATTGATAAAAAATTTTATGAAAGTTCGTCGAAATAATTCAATTATTTAATAATTTTTTGATAATATTCTTTATGAGAATTCAATTTTAAGAAACATTCAATTATTCAATAAATTGTTTATTTTTCATTATTTAAACAATTGAATTCTCGTGGAATTTCTAATTTTTTAGGAAAAGTTTAATTGAAATTTTTATAAAAATTTTAGAGGTTTTTATTTTCCAATATATCTTCAATTGAAGAATTTTCCAATATAATCGAAATTTCGTAAAATTAAATTATTGAAAACAAATGGATATGAAAATTCTCAAAGAACTTTGTCAAAAATTATAAAAAATAATTGATTTAAAGAAGTATTTTAGTTGAAAAATCTAGAAAATAATAATTGAATTGTAATGGTCGAAATAATTTTGAAAAAGTTAGAGTAACAAAAATTCTTATAAGTTACTGAATTTCAAAAGGTTTAAATTTAAAATTTTTGAAAAACTTATTTTCTATGGAAAAAGAGTTATTATTAAATATTTATTTAAAAAATAAGTTATTAATGTTTTTGAATAATTTTACAATTAGAGAAATTCGCAAATAAATGTATTAGAACATTTTTTTGAGTATCTAAGTATTTTTAGAGTCAATCAAAATATTCTTGGCGGTCAGGGAAAAAGTTAAAAATTTTTCTGGAAATCAGGGAAAAACAAAATTAAATTTTTGTGAAAACCCTAATTATTAGGTTATAAAATACCAAAATAAATAAACGAATAAAAAAATTCTAAAAATTAGAAAATTAAACTCAAAAAAATGGATTCGTTCAGGAAAATCTCAAATAAAATCATCAAAGCAATTGTGAAATTGTAATCTTCCAAAGTTTCCGGACGAGTTCAAGACTCCACCTGAATTTCCTTAAATACATTAAATTTCTTTAACGAGATGTAAATTGTAAAAGTCGTGTCTTTATGTAAGACGTCGTCGTCGTTAATCTTTTTCACTGAATACGTGATAAGGAATAACGATGTTAATCCTTCAGATAGAGAGAGAGAGAGAGAGAGAGAGAGAGAGAGAGAGAGAGAGAGAGAGAGAGAGAGAGTTCATCTTTTTCAATTTTGTTTCTCTATAGAGAAAAATACATATATGTATATAAAATCTTTAATACAATTTTTCCTCATATGTTCTCCAATCTCTCCCTTTTCTTATTCTTCTTACATATAAAAATGTGACGAAAATATTTTACATATATATTAAAGAAAAAAAAAATATTTTTTTTTTCTAAACGTCACACAAATTTTTTGGATAAAAACATAATTTAAATAAATCAATAAAAATGCATCTCGCGTGTATATTTTTCAAAAAACGAATCTACAAAACGGATCATGTCAAATATCTTTTCTCATCGAACGAATTTTTTTTCGAAATATTTCGAAAAAAGTAAATAACGAAAAATATTAAGAAAATAACTTTTTCTTTTTTTTATAAAAATTGTAGAGTATAAAATTTTTCTACAAGGAAAAATAAACAAAAATAAATTCATATTTCGAAGTTTTTCATTGTTTTCCTTTTTTCTCGTAATATTTATTTTGTTAACAAAAAATATTCTCATAAAAGAATTTTTTATTTTTAAAACAGATAAAAATGCTTTAAATGCAAAAAAATGTACACTGCAATTTTTATACTGTTTTTCTGTAAATAAATAAATATTATTTTCTGTCAACATTTATTTTTTTATTTTACATATAAATTTTTTTTAAAAATATTTAATTTATAAATATAAATTAAATATTATTTTTTGTTAATATTTATTTTTTTATTTTATATATAAATTTTATATAAAATATTTAATTTATAAAAATAAATAAAATATTTTTGAAAGCCATGAATAATAAAACATGTTTTTATACCCCTTTTAATGTACATTAAATTTTCCGAAAACAATTTCTAAAAACTCAAAAATATTCCACAAAAAAAAAATTGAAAATAAAATTTTGAAGTAACCCAAAAAGATTAAAAAAGTAGGTGACTGAAAAAGTGTCAAATGACAAGGTCACACTAGACTTTTTCGCACTAGAACTTTCTTTCTTTCCTTCTCTTTTTTTTTTTTTTTTTTTTTTTTGAAAACGGTCAATTAGGCTTTCAGTGCTTTTATTGCGACGGAACTGCAATCAAGAAGTTAAGCTCTATATGCCCATCGCATGAACACATTATAAATACGTAACACAGCGTTATAACACCGTTTTAAACTTGCCAAACGACTGGTTCCTATAGTCGGGCCATTTCCGGAACGATTATGTCCAAAGAGCATCACGTTTTCACTCTCTCCAATCGTTGTCCACCCTCTCTTTCCCCAGCCCCTCTACTCTCATCTCTTTCACGATGCCTCTTTACTCGTTGAATTTTGCGGCCCCATTACAATTATCATCGCACCGCTTTACAATTTCACGAATTTTATTTCATTTCGAATGAAATATAAAAATAAAAAATATATTTTCAATTTTCTATTTATATTTATGTTCCTCTAAATCAGAATTAATATAGTTTTCTACAAAGTAAATAGAGCGGATTTATTTACTAATACAGTCGTAAGCATTTTTAATTAATTACTAATTATTTTAGTGTTCTCAATTAATTTACTATTATTATTTTTTAAAATAATTTTTAGTCAAATGGTTGTCTACTAATTTTAGTTAATTTATTCTTTTTTTTACTTAAAAATTATTCCACTAATTTTTCTAATCAAATATTTATTTTACTATAAAATTATTAGCTGACAACTAATTAATACAGGATTGCCAAAAAAATATAATTTTTCTTTTCCCTGATTTACAGAAAAAATGTTTACTTTTTCCCAGACCCTAAAGAATATTTTGATTTACTCTAAAAATACTTAGAGAATCAAAAAAATGTTCCAATACATTTATTTGCGAATTTCTTTAATTGTTAAATTTTTAAAAAACACTAATAACTTCTTTTTAAAATAAATATTTAATAATTACACTTTTTTCATAGAAATTAAGTTTTTCAAAAATTTGAAAATTAAACCTTTTTGTAATTCAGTTACTCATAAGAATCATTGTTACTCTAACTTCTTCAAAATTATTTCCATCATTACAATTCAATTATTATTTTCTAGAATTTTCAACTTAAATAGTTTTTTAAATCAATTATATTTTATAATTTTTGACAAAGTTCTTTACAAATTTACATATCCATTTATTTTTAATAATTTACTTTTGTGAAATTTCGATTAGTCGAAAATTCTTTAATTAAATACATATTGGAAAATAAAAACCTCGA